TCCACATCCTCTCCAACATGTGTTGTCACTTGAGTTTTTTATCTTAGCCATTCTGATGGGTGTAAGGTGAAATCTCAGGGCCGTTTTGATTTGTATTTCCCTGATGACCAAGGATGTTGAGCATTTCTTTAAGTGTTTCTCTGCAATTCGATATTCCTCTACAGAGAATTCTCTTTAGCTCTGTACCCCATTTTTTAATTGGATTACTTGATTTGTTGCTTTTTAACTTCTTGAGTTCTTTATATATTCTGGATATTAGCTCTCTGTCAGATATAGGGTTGATGAAGATCCTTTCCCAGTCTGTAGGCTGTCATTTTGTTCTGATGACAGTGTCCTTTGCTTTACAGAAGCTTTTCAGTTTCATGAGGTCCCATTTATTGATTGTTGCTCTTAGAGCCTGTGCTGTTGGTGTTCTGTTCAGGAAGTTGTTTCCTGTGCCAATGAGTTCAAGGCTCTTCCCCACTTTTTCTTCTAACAGATTTAGTGTGTCTAGTTTTATGTTGAGGTCTTTGATCCACTTGGACTTTAGTTTTGTGCAGGGTGATAAACATGGATCTATTTGCATTTTTCTACGTGTAGACATCCAGTTAGTTGAGCACCATTTGTTGAAGATGCTGTCTTTTTTCCATTGTATGATTCTGGTTTGTTCTTCTAACAAATGCTATTTTTGCTGTTAATCTAAAAGGCAAATAATCTCTTTGGTAGGTGGCCATTATAGATTCCTGAGAGCCTCAAAGATGAGATGCTTCCCACCACTGCTTCTATTTTTCCCTCCCAAGACTTCCCCACTTTCCACTTACCTGATCCTTACCCCTGTTCCTTTCCCTACCCATCTCCTACCCAGTTCCCTCACTCCACCTACTTTCAGATATGTTTTAGTTCCCCTTCTGAATAAGATTCAAGCATTGTCCCTTGAGACCTCCTCCTAACTTAGCTTCTTTGAGTTTGTGGGTTTAAGGACGGCTATTCTGTACTTAATGGTTAATATCCAGTTACAAGGATTTTTCAGCATTTAGTGAGATGATATTGTGGTATTTTTCTTTAAGTTTGAGTATATTATGGATTACATTGATAGATTTTTGTATTTTGAACCATCCCTGCACCTAACACATAAAGTGTACTTTATTATGGTGGATGATGTTTTTGATATGTTCTTGGATTCGATTTGCGAGTATTTTATTGAGTATTTTTGCTTCAATGTTCATGATGGAAATTGGTCTGAAATTTTTCTTTTTTGGTTGAGTCTTTGTGTAGTTTAAGTATCAGAGTGGCCTCATAGAATTAGTTTGCCAATGTTCCTTCTGTTTCTATTTTGTGGAATATTTTGAGGAGTATTGGAAGTAGCTATTCTTTTAAAGTCTGGTAGAATTCTGTGCAGAAACCATCTGGTTCAGGATTTTTTCTGGTTGGGAGATTTTTAATGACTCTTTTTATTTTCTTAAGAGTTGTTAGACTATTTAAATCATTTACCTGATGCCTTGACTTTAGTAACTGGTATCTATCAAGAAAATAAACCATTTCGTCCAGATTTTCCAATGTGTGGAGGACAGGCCTCTGACATAAGATCTGATGAGTCTTTGAATTTCCTCATCGTGTCTGTCATTATGTCCCACGTTTCATTTCTGGTTTTGTTAGTTTGCATGCTGTCTCTCTCCCTTTTAATTAGTTTGGCTAAGGATTTGTATAACTTACTGATTTTCTCAAAAAAACAGCTCTTGGTTTTGTTGTCTCTTTGCATTGTTCTCTTTGTTTCTAATTTATTGATTTCAGCCCTGAGTTTGATTATTTCCTGATGTCTACTCCTCTTGTGTGTTTTTGCTTCCTTTTGTTCTAGAGCTTTCAGGTGTACCTTTAAATTACTAGTATGCTATCTCTCTAATTTCTTTATAAAGACCCTTAGTGCTGGGAACTTTGCTCTTAGCACTGCTTTCATGGTGTTTCATAAATCTGGGTAAGAAATTCATTTTCATTGAATTCTACAAAGTCTTTAATTTCCTTTATTTTTATTTCTTCCTTGACCCATTGGTCATTGAATAGAGAGTTGTTCAGTTTCCATAAATTTGTAGGCTTTCTGTTGTTTCTCTTTTTGTTGAAGTCCAGCTTTAATCCGTGGTGGTCTAATAAAATACAAGGAGTTATTTCAATTTTCTTGTATCTGCTGAGACTTTCTTTGTGACTGACTATATGGTCAGTTTTGGAGAAGGTTCTGAGAAGAAGATGCATTCATTTGTATTTGGGTGACATGTTCTCTAAATATCTGTTAGGTCTATTTGATTCATAATGTCTGTTAGTTTCATTATTTCTTTGTTTGGTTTCTGTCTCTATGACCTGTCCATTGGTGAGAGTGGGGTATTAAAATCTCCTACAATTAATGTGTGTATTTCAATGTGGAGTTTAAACTTTAATGATATTTCTTTTACAAATGGGGCTGCCCTCATATTTGGAGCATAGGTATTCAGAACTGAGAAGTGATCTTGGTGTATTTTTATTTTGATAAGGATGAAGTGATTTTTTCATCTCTTTTGATTAATTTTTGTTTAATATCAATTTTGTTAGATATTAGAATGGCTACTCCAGCTTGATTTTAAGGTCTATTTGCTTGGAAATTTCTCAGCTCAAAATCCCAAAAAAATATTTTCAACAAAATAATAGAAGAAAATGTCCCTAATGTAAAGAAAGAGATGCCTATAAATGTACAAGAACTTTACAAAACACCAAATAGATTGTACCAAGAGAAGAAAATCCTACCACCACATAATAATCAAAATAGCAAATGTGCAGAACAATGAAAGATTATTAAAATCTACAAGGGAAAAAGGCCAAGTAACATATAAAGGCAGACCTATTAGAATTATACCAGACTTCTCAACAGGGACTTTAAAATCCAGAAGGGCCTGAAACGATGTCTTGCAGTCTCTAAGAGACCACAAGTAACAACCCAGACTACTATGCTCAGCAAACTTTAAATCACCAAAGATGGAGAAAACAGCATATTCCATAACTAAATCAAATTTAATCAATATCTTTCCACAAATCCAGCCCTACAAAGAATACTAGAAGGAAAACTACAGCTACAAGAAGTCTAACTATGCCCAAGAAAACACAGGAAACAAATAATTTTACACCAACAAAACAAAAAGAATGAAAACACACACACACACACACACACACACACACTGTCACCACCAACATCAAAATAACAGGAATTGACAATCATTTGTCATTACTATCTCTCCATCAATGGAATAAGTAAAAAGGCAGAGGCTAAGAGAATAGATTCGAAAATAGGATCCATCATTCTGATGTTTTTTATTTTTAAGTGTTGAATAAATCAACTTTAGCTATTCCAAAAGTGACTATTGACTCTTATGTACTGTAATATACAAAAATTAGTGACAAAGTTGTTCAAAAGGCAAAAATAGAAAGTGAAAAATGTAGATATCTGGAATCAAGAATAGCAGCAAAACTTTAAAACCTTGAATCGGGCAATGATTTTCTGCATGTAACTCAAAAAACATAGGGAATGAAACTTTTAAAAATCCTTAGAAGAAAAAAAAACATATATGCATTGGAGGATGCGAAAACACAAACCTTAGATTAGAAGAAAATATTTGCAAATCATATATAAGTGACTGTTCCTCAATTATATAAATAACATTTATAATTTAACAATGAAAACCCAATTAACAATGGACAAGGACTCAGAATAGCATTTTCCTATGAAGATATTCAAGTGACCAATGAGCAAAAGAAGTTATGCAAATTAAAACCTTGATGAGATAATTTTAATATACACGAGGAAATTTTATTGAGCATTGGTAAGGATGTAGAAAAAAATATGACCCAAGTAGTCTGAGGTAGAAAAGACAAGGGTACTACCACTTTGGAAAACAGCAGTCCCTCACCATAGAACCCAACAATTGCATTCCTGGTTAGGTACCCCCAAAGAAATGAAAGCCTATTTCCACAGAAAGAACTATATACACAAAACATTACTAATAAGAGCCACAAATGGAAACAAGTCCAGTGTTCATCATCTGATGGATAAACAAAATTTGCTACATCTACAGTAGACGATTACTCACCCAGACAAAGAACAAAGCATTGACATTTCCCTTGCTATGTATGGAGCGTGCATACATTGTGAAAACAGAAACAGGTAGCTACCAATATGGGCTTGCAGAATGAGAAAATCTATGAAGAAAAAGAGGTTGGGTGAGCAGAGAGAAAGAGGGAAGGAAAAATATGAAGGAACGAGGTAGGTGAAGAGAGAGTAGAATAGTGGTTGCCTAGGTCTCAAAAATGGAAGAATGGGAAAGACGGTTATATGTTGTCTTTCCAGATGATGAAGTGTTCAAGAATTACATACTAGGGAATTTGTGCAACTCTGAATATATTACAAACCAATTAACTATGTAAGTCAAGTGGGGGAAATGAATGCTATGTGAATTTATCTTAATAAATTTGTTTAAAATGAAGATGAAATATTTTGTAGGTGTTTGAGAGATCAACTCCGGAGAGTTCACTGCCAACAGAATGCCATTGCAAAATGCTGGAAGAAATTGATGCTAAAGAGAAAAGATGTCAGATCTACAGAAAGCAATAGAAATAATTAATTGATTAAAATACATTTTGTCTAAATGATTTATTTATTTTTGGATGTGTGCAGAGATATCTTTTTGTTCTGTATTACAGGTTTACCTTGAAACTACAACAAACCTCATATCTCTACATCTCAATGTTGATAATATAGGCATGCGCCATTATGTCTGGTTAATTTGTTTTATTATCGTCACCACCATCATTTTAATGTTTTCTAATTACTTGAAAAGCGTGCCTTTTTAAATTAACAACTTATTATATCATTCTGAATTACTGGATTGAAAATATCTGTGGAGATACTCCATTACTGAATTTTCCAACTTGCAAAAAGACATCCAATAAGAAAGAATATTCTTCTTCACAATCACATACCATAGAATAAAATAGAACATAATTACCAGAGATAAGTTAAAGTGGAAGTCAAAATTGTATGTGCTGTTCATGACTATCATTTTGGGAGCAATGCCTCCTGTTGTAAAAATACCCAGAATTGCCCTTGAAATATCAGAGTTTTCACTTCGGAAGAAACAGTGGACTTTCTGTAGAAAAGAAAGAAACATAATTAATGAGACTTTGATATAGAGAGGCATATTACATTAATTTATTTGTAAGGAAAAAATTATGAAAAAAAACCCTGCTGATCAAGACTGTGTCCTTCAGTGATTTTCATCTCCTGTGGGGAAAATCTAATTTTACGAGCAAGTCCTCCAAACTCAGTAACTTTGTGTATGGTGTGTGTGTGTGTGTGTGTGTACACCTATAAAACAGCATGCATATGGAGGTCAGAAGGTAAGTTGAGGCCGTCAGTTCTCTCCACCATATGGAAACTAGAAATCGAACTGAGGTTTGGTGGAAACTAACTGCCCTCACCAGACATTCTGCTGGTCTGGTTTGGGAAGTCTTATTTTTAAAATACTCATCAGAGCAAAAGATTTCCCTCAGGAAAGGTCATGGGTGAAGATTAAGTTTCATAATGAACACACAACACTTTGACTGTACACGCAAACACTTTAAAAAATGTAAGTGGTGGTTTAAAACAATGCCATGCCGACATGTACTAAATGACAAGTGTGTAAAAATAGGCTAGAATAGTAATTTTATAACTAAAAATGGAAACTAGAGATGGCTCAATGGATGAGAGCCTTGTTACTCCTCCAGGGGACTTTTCTTCAATTTCAAGTGCCCACACTGTGGTTAAGAACTCTGTAACTCCAACAGACTCAGTGTCCTCTTCTGGCCTACAAGGGCATCAGGCATGCACGTATGTAGTAGATACACACAGATGTGGGCAAAATATCCACACAAGTAAAATAAATAGATGCACAAACAACTTTTTAAATAAAAATCTAAAACCAAAAGGTTAAGTAATTTGTGTCAGGGAATACAGCCATAAATAGAAGACCTAAGATTTGATCCCAACTTTGTAAGTCTACATTGTCTTTCCTATAGGATAAAATCACAAACAAAAAGGGTACAGGCTTCTCAAGAGTTATAATTAGCAGGGACACTAGGTGACCTTAAGCTAGTATGTTCTTGCTAGCAACCTAAAGGAAGCGATTAAGAAGAATTAATAATCTTGTTAAAACAAGGACATTTTTATTTCTTAAGGTCATGTGAGGTATGTTTCTCTGACAGGATACTTCTGTCAAACTTCAAAAGAACAAATTGGTTCCATATCAGATGAAGATTGTTACAGCTGGTCTAAAAAAGACAGGTAGATATCATCTTTTAACAGCAGTCACAGAGCAAGGCTACCTAGGAAGCTCAGTGGTAAAGGAAATATCCTACCCTATGCGAGTACAGAAATAAATTCATAGGATCTCACCTTCCCGTCTGTACAGTGAAAGGTTCTTGAGAGAGTGCCATTGATTTTACACATGGCCTTAAAGGGACACAAAGGACATTATAATACATTCAGAGAATGAACTTTACCAAATTGTCAGTGGAAAGGAACAACTTGATTATTTGAATGTCTGTAGGCGAGCCTTCATTGTAACAAGTGAAGTGGTACTCCTTCTCACCTAAACAAACAAAAACAGACCAAGATGGAGATCCTTACACAAAAAGCACCACATCTTCCAAACTGACAAAGCACTTCTTACAGAATCAGAATTATGAATTATGCACATCTGTAACTCTAGCTCTCAAACAGTGGGGGCAGGAGGATCAACAGCCAGAAGGGTTGTTTTAGCAAAAGAACAGGGTTGCTTTGGCAGAAAGAATAAGGCATGACATTGTGAGAAAGTTATTTTAGGGGCCCTGCACAGCCACAGTTTGCTAGGACAAATATGGATATATGAATGCTTCCTTGAGGCTGCTAGCAAGAACACACTAGCTTAAGGTCACCTAGTGTCCTGATCTCAAAATTATTTTGGAATCACAGCTGGACCTCAACAGAAAGCATTTCAAGGCATGGCTGAATATGTTTAGGAGCCAATGAAAGAATACATGACTATTGGGGCTATGCAAATGCTTTTCCCAGTTTGGAAAGACTGTAGGTAAGACATAGCTAGAAGTATAGTAGATTGGAGGGGGTATGAAGAACCCAGGTCAAGCATATTGGGATCAGTGGTAAGTGTGCATCTGCCTGATCTAGAAGGTACAGTTGTGTGATGGTCATCTCAGGATACACTAGGTAAGGGCAGGGACACATTATAGAATCTCCATTCTTGTCTACAGGGCCGAGGCATAAAGGTTTGAAGGTTAAAGCCAGAGAGTGAAACAGACTTGAAACAGTAAAGAGAGGAGGAAAGGCACAACACAGGCTTTATACAACATGGCCCAAATGGAAGAAACGAAGCCTTCATTGTAAAACAGAATTGTGTTTGGACTCTTTCATAAAGATAGAGAATGTAATTACAACTGTTAGAACTCAAACCTGTGTTTCCATGGCTTAGAAATGGTTGGGATGTTAAAAATAAAATAAAATAAAATAAAATAAAATAAAATAAAATAAAATAAAATATGGAAAGGGTCAAATTTTTCTACTAGAACTAGAGAAAATTTCAGAAATAAATTTTAATAAGAATTAAGAATAAATTTACTTTATACTACATATTGTTTGTAAAACACAGTTTTTTCAATGTTGTTTTCAAATCTGTGTAAGAATATCAGTGTCAGAGAGTTGATTTTCAGCAATTTTCAAAGAACTTTCAATGCACACATTTATCTCCTTTATCTGTCCTTAAAAGGGTTCCCAAACTTGTTTTTTTAACTTTTATTAATTACACTTTATTCATTTTGCCCAAACTTGTTTTTAAACTATAATTTGATTCTAAAGTCCAAATCACTTCTCTGTCTGAAAAAAAAAAAAAAAAAAACTAACAAAAAAACACTGATGATACTTAATGACTAAATGTGGAAATAAGAGATGAAAAAACAACAAAAGAAAATAAAACAAAGTAAAAAAAAAAAAAAAAAGCTGTTTTAAATAAGGTGCTTTGAGCCACCCATAGGGTTTGTATGACATTCTCACAACGCCCTGTGCCGTCTGGGCCATTATGACCTCTTGAAGAAGCAGCAGCCAATATTCAAGACGCTGAGCTCACAGGCCACACACCTGACAATTTACCTGGTAGAAAGTCAGACTGGAGAAAGGTCTATGAGGACCTTCCTCTGCTCTACTAGACAACCTTTCAACGACCAGGCCTTCCTTTCAGTCTCTTGCATTAAACCTAGACCCTTCCCATCCAAAATGGCCACACATTCTCTTGACTTCTCTACTTTGCTCAGATTTTAACTCACTTTGGTCTTCTTCAAATAAAAGTTATCAGTTATTGGTGTCAATGAAATTATCTGATAACCCTTGACTGCTGTATCATTTTGCGAGTTCCATTTACATCAACAGGCTTTTTTTTTTTTTTTTTTTTTATGTTGAGTTACAAAAGATGAATCAGGGGAAGTCGCAAAAGATGCTGTGGCCAGAGACAGAAACAAATTCCAACTCCGTGGTTTCACCTGTAGTTTTGAAGGATCCCTCTGTCTAAAAACTCTTAGAGCACAGAGTTTGCTAGATTTATAACACTAGAATGATAATAATATTTAAGTGCCTCTAGGAAAGATGGGACCATCTTTTACAATTATAGACATCATAAAAGTGTAATTACTGAGGGAATGTCTGCCCCAAATAGAATAAGGTGACTCTCTGGGACAAATGGGGAGAACCAGTGTCCTTTATTAAATGTATTCCTCGTTCTGCTCACAGTTCCACACGCACACCAATGAACATATAACCAGAGGAACCAAACTCCTTCCATCTCATGCCACAAATTCAGTTTATACATTGCTGTTGGAAGAGATCAGAACATGCTACCCTAAACACAGGCCACTTTGGCATGGGGATTATTTAAAGCTAAAAGAAACTGTACTTTTCCATTAACCAGCAAAATAATTATTGAGTGTGCTCAAACATATTAAAACAGTGTTCACCTTCCTTCATTTCCTTCCTATATGTTTCCTAACAGACTCTTCCTCTGTTCATCATACTCAGTCTCTCTTTTCTTCTTGTGTCCCCTCTCCTCTACTTGTTACTTTTGTTAATGTGGTTCATTAGCCTATTGGTTTAACCACTTCTTTAGGACCTCACTTCTTTCTACAAAGACCTCGATGCCTCATAAAATATTGAAATCAAATGAAATTTGCATGCTGTTTTTCCTGTTGGTCGGTCTTTTGTTAGATCACAAACATCAGCCACAGAATCTCACAGGATAAAGTATTTCTTACCCTACGCTGACATATTGATCCAAACGATAGCTATGCTATGTCACTATCCCACTTAGTTTATTAGATTTAAATAAGAATTAATTTACTTTATACTTCATGTTGTTTGTACAACATGATTATTCCAGTGTTATTCTCAAATTTGTCTGTTACCATACTAGTGCAAACAGCCTCCCAATGGTTACAGCTAGAAATCATTCCTTTGTCTGACACGCAAGCACCTCTATGATATACACCAGTTCCCAGTCTTTGAGAACAGTTTGTCAGACTTAACTATGCACTGGCTTCCTCACACTCTCTGCAATTTACCTCTTCCAAAATATTGTTCATCATGCATCCGGTTGCTACTTCTGAAGAACACACCTTCCCATGTGTGTGTATAAAAAATTTACCCATATTAAAGGCTTAGATGGACTGTTCTCTTTTATTTGAAGCCTGCCGTAACAACTTGCTTTTCCACAACAAGATGCAATCACTCTTTGCTCTGACACCTCCCATTCTGTGACTCTCTAATGTTGGCTTAGATCCACATGTATCTCAGAAATTCCCTTCTACAATGTTGCAACTAAAAGCTGGGACAATCCATATCTCATCAAATTCTGCAACACAGTGTGAATTGAAGGTCTGAATTCTTCTATCTACTCATTAATTAAGCACCAATGTGTTCTAACATGTGTTCTAGGATGCAGAAGGATCTCAGAAATGTGCATAATATAGATGTAAATTTTTCCCTTAATTTTTTTGCTGCTCTTGGGGCTGGGGAGATAGCTCAGTGGTTAAGCACTGTCTGCTCTTCCTGAGGATCTGGATTCAATTCCCAGGACCCACGTGGCAGCTCACAACTGTCTATAATTCCAGTTCTGGTGGATATGACACCCTGAAACAGACATACATGTAAGCAAAACACCAATGTACACAAAATAATAATGAATACATAAACCATTTAAAATAGAATCCTGAACTAATTCTATCTGTATATTTCTTTCAGGGAATCCTTTTAATTTGTAGCCTGATAATTCACACATCAAGGAAAGGAGTTTATACCTGTACAAATAATAAAATATTTGTCATGTATAATTTGTTTTTAATGGTAAACATTCCATGACTTGGAAGTGAAAAGTGATATAAAAGAAAACAACAACTCTGCATATACAAGTCGGTGACAGTTGCTTCACAATGACCTTACCTGACACTTGGGACACAGTAAATAGGTAATACATGAGAACAATGGAAAAATACTGTAAAAAAAAGAAAATATTAAATGAAAAGCATTTGAACTGTAAATAGAGAAGGGATGTGAGTAAGAACTCCTGAAAGAGAAACAATTTGATCTTACCTTTATTAAATACTATTCCTGGCAAAAATTCAAACATATTCAAAAGTAAAATCATAATATATATGAGTGATGATTCCATCTGTTGGGAATAAACATAAATTACTTCCATTCGGTTACTCTGAAAATATTATTTTGAGTTTTTAAAAATTAAAACCACTACACAGAGGTTAAGAAAACATCTCTTCAAGTCAAAAACTATTTTATATTATGTGACAAAAGCAGATGACAGAGCTGGAGATCTAGAGCCTGCCTAGGAAGCACACAGCCTTGGGCTTGACTCCAGCACCCAAATCACAACTGGCCAACCAGCAAAACCCTGAAACAGATACACAACACCTGACTAAGTTCTAAAGCTCCTATTGAGGATCTAAAATATGTAAAACTATCGTCATTGTGAGAGACAGAGGGGGTGGGGCTATGGGTTTTCTTCAATATAGATTAACTATGGGAGAAGTCTGAAATTTATGATCCTGTGTCAACTGTATGATCCAAAACTAGATCAATAAACACTCCAAGGGTGATGGAGCTGGCAATTCCTTTTTCTTCTACTGTTTTAATAATACTTTGAGAGAGGTGGCCTACATGGTCCCAAGCATCCTTTGCAGGTCCTTCCTGTGCATACCAAGAATGCAGATCTCTGATGCTCTTTATCCAGGGCTTCTTCTCAGGGTGTGTTTGATGCGGACAGATATGAGGGAGTTGGACCAGGAGGCCAGTTTACACAAAGAAAAGATGAAGCACAGATGGGGATGAGATGATCATCTGCAAATTTATGGGAGACCAAAACAGATTGTTCCCTGGCCCTTAGAAGAAATCAACTATGGTAACATGTTGACCTCAGGCTTCTGGCCTCAAAAATTGTGGGAAAAAAAAACAGTTCTGTTGCTTAATCTGCCCCATGTATGGCACTTTTTTTTAATGGAAACTTAGAAAATGCTGTTGGACTTTGGAACGAACAGGCTTCAAGTTCATCACCACCAAGTGACAGATGACCTGGGAACCAAGATCATGGGACTCAACAAATTTTGTCCACATGTGAAGATACCACAAAATAAAAAAAAATCAAGTATATCAAAAGTATGATTATATTTGACCTATCACTAAACTGAGTGGCACATATCTTTATCTAATCTTCCTTCAATATGTAATTTTTCTTAGGTTGATGTTCCTTTTTTTGACAGCTACTGTGTATCTAGAGAAGCTATCTAGATTTCAGCTGGAGTCAATCTTGAACAATTAAATATTTTCCAATATGGTGTTTCTCTAAATTCTCTTTTTATTTGGTAAGATTAGTATTTCAGCTACTCTGCACTGACTTACAACATCTGACAGCTTCTTTACAGAAAAGTACTCTACACCTCCTTGTTCAGGCATATAAATTTCAATTTGTTACATTCACATGTTTCATCTTATCAGGCAATTATACCATCTCTTTCACTAGTCAGATTCAAAGTTGGAAGCCATATAATGAAAAAAAAAAAAGGCAATGTTTTTCACTCCTTTTTTTCAACTTATTTAACAGTTAAACTGACAACAGTTAAACAATTCTCCTTACCCATGCCTTTAATTATTGTTGGTTTTCTGTAATTGTCTATTAAAAGCCACACATTTGGAATTTCCATCTCTTCTGCCGCTAAACACTGTGAATTGTGCCAAAGGAGGAGCCCACCCTCTCTCAATCTGGTTCATTTGTAGCTATTTAATTACCATAGAAAATGTATTACATCAAATTAATATTACAGCAGGGAGCTTACTTTCATATTCATGATCACAACTACCCTTAATTTCTCACTGATTGCCTTTCTTTTTATATTTTACTCATTTTTTCTGTTTAGAGTCAATACTGTAGACTGAAGTCCAGTTGGATAAACTGAATTTATCCAACTGTCTAAGACAAATGTATTTGAGATGTTTTTCATCTGTGATATCAAACTCTATGAATTCGACCAATGAAGGAGCCTTCCTTCTCCTATATGACTCATTTACAGTTATCCTATTGTCACAGAAAAGTGATTATATGAAATTAATATCACAACAGTGGTCTTGTTTTCATCTTCATGACTATCATTACCTTTAATTGTATGTCTTCCGCGTTGTCTTTTTTCTAATTGGATGTTGTTGTTGTTTGTTTTATATTTAGCCTTGTTTCTTCTGTATAGATTGAAGACCCAGTGTCAAGGGCCGAGTTTTCACAGTTGGCTGCTTTAGCAGTCCCCTTAACTTTGGTAACAGCCAATCAGCTGCTACTAAGTACAGAGCCTGCTATGGAAAATCTAAAGGATAGGCAGTTGGAATTTCCAAGTAACTGCCTTCATCAAAGGGATCAGAGATTTTCTTTGAAAACCTATGAGAAGTAGTTTTCCAAACCTATAACTCTTCATATAATATCTATTTTAGGGTGTTCAGATGCTTGTTGAGTACCTAAGGGAAAACATAACAGCCAAAGGGTCATTCTGTCTCTATACCTTCAAGTTTAAGGCAACTGTCAGAGAGAGCTTAATATCTGTCTTGAAAGAAAAGTAGGACTTACAAGGAATAATTGACAAATGAACTTACTGGAAGATAAACAAGTAAACACACAAGGTGTAAAGAGTGGGAAGAGCTGTGTGCACAGAATTTGCCAAGCTTCTCCCATATCCATTGTTGTGTGGATGCTCTTTTAAGGTGTGCAGACTCACTAAGGGTACCCAGGATGAATCTGAATGACTTCCTCAGTACCAAACAGTCATAAATGGGCATAAAGATGACAAGTAATGTTGCAGTGGTGCCTTTTAATCCCATTTTCTACCCGAGGCTATATAAAACCTGTCTTGTATACATACCACAGAAGTAAACTGATCTCAGTTTAATGTATTCCTGGAAAAGCCTCTGTAAGAAATACTCTTTCCTTCTTTCCTGAATGAAAGATGCCATTCCTCGACCTGAAAGTGCAGAACACAACAAAGCATCTCTACTAGAAATAACTCAGTTCCCAGATACTGGAGACTTACTTTTGTTTTAGGTTGTCTCTTGCACTAGAAGGAGATAAATATTTTCTTCCAGACAGTCTCTTACTGAACCCAGAGCTCACAGAATGAGGAAACTGGGTGGCCAATAGCATCCAGGAATCTGCCTGTTGCTTCCTCCCTGGTGACTTATTATAATGTTGCTGGAGAGTAAAACTCATGTCCTTGTACTTCTCCGACAAGCACTCTATTGACTGAACTATTTCCCAATCTACTCACCCCCTTATTCTATTCTAAGAGAAAAAAAAATATCTTTTTATAAAAAATGAAACAAATTTATAGCATTTCATGCCAACAAATGATTCCTGTACATCTTCCTGTAACAATGATTCCTGTGGCAGCTCCTTGCTTGTATGGTTCTTAATTTTTTTTTCTGTGGTTGTTAGGAATCAGGATCCAATAAAATCCATACTTTGCTTCTGCCTGATGTATAGTCATGTATCACTTGATGGCAGGGATGCATCCTGGAAATGTGTCATTAGGGGACTTCCGCCTTGAGCAAACATCATAGAGTACTTAGACAGACTTACATTTTGTAAGGCATCTTGTGGCCTCCTGATGTAATCAGAGGAACACAAACTGAAATAGACTGCTGTCAATCTACCACAGCTTACTGTTACGCAGTAAACTTTCACTTCTAAGAAGACACTACTGGAATAGTAAAAAGTTACCAGGTAGTAATTACATAAACCAGATGCATAATCATCTATTGTCACCATTGAATATCACATTCGACCCGTACGTGGATCCATCCATACTACTGTTGGCTTGGGAAGCTGATTACATCACCGACATGTGAAGCATACAGCCACGCCAGCATTATCACCAACATGTGTAGCGTACAGCCTTATAATATTATCACAACTGTCCTGCAGAAACCTGCAAGACTCTTTCAGTCCCGTTATGATCCTGTAGAATACTGTAAACCACATGGTTCATCACTGAGCGTGACACTTAAAAGTGTCATGTGTCCATGCTTTTCAGGTATTTAAATCTTTAAGCAAATCATTTTCCTCCCTCTAGTCATTTTTCAATTTTTCCCTGGTACTCAAAGACCTGAAGAAGCAGGTAGTTCTGTTTCCCATAGTCTAGACTTTTACGATTGTAGTGTCAATTCTGATGTTAGTATAATAGTGATATTTTTTATACTACAAGCCTACCACATTTATCCAGCAAATCATGAGAGATTTAGAAGCTTTATGGGTGTTTTAGTTACTTTTTTATTGCTCTAATAAGACACTATGACCAAGGCAACTTTTAAAAGAAAGCATTTAATTTGGGACTCTTGGTTCAAGAGGGTTCCAGTCAATGATCATTATGGCAGAGAGCATGGCAGCAGGCAGGCAGGCATGGTCTTGGTGCAGTAATCAGGGCCTACATCTTACCCACAAGTACCAGACAGACAAAGATACTGGGAAAAGTGTGGGCTTTTCAAACCTCAAAGCCAGCTCCCACGACACACATCTTCCAACCAGACCACACCTCCTAATCCTTCCCAAACAGTTCCACCAACTGGGTTCTCAAGTTATCAAACATAATTTCCTTTCTTCCTTCTTTCTTCTTTCTTTCCTTTCTTTTTCCTTTCATCCTTTCTTCCTGACTTCCTTGTTTCCTTTCCTCTTCCTTCCATTCTCCCTTCCTTTCTTTCTTCCTTTCTTCCAGCCTTTTTAAGTTCCCTTCTTTCTTTTGTGTGTGGAATGCCTGTGTTAGGAAGTACATGATGTCTAGGAAGCTTTCTGCTTTCATTTCATGATGTAGCAGTCATTTGTTGACTAAAGGGATTAAAATCATCCGTGGTTAAAGGAGAATGTTATTTTACCTTTTCATTTCTCTCTTTCTTAGTCTCTCTCTCTCTGTCACACACACATCTACACAGATGATCTTACTACAGCCTAGGGTGGCCTAAAAAATACCGTGCAGTCTTATTGTATTAGCCTCTTGTATTCTGAGATTACAGGTATGTTTTATCAAACCTAATCTATCAGTAATATTTCTCCTTTTTTCTTTTTTTTATAACTTTTTGGGCTTTTTGTTTGTTTGAGACAGTGTTTTTCTATGTAGCCTTGGTTGTCCT